CCCCCCCCCCTTTTTTTTTTCTTTAAAAAAAAATTCCCGTCTTCACAGTAAGAATTCTGAAACTGTTAAAAACGTAAACATTTAAACAGGTGGTCAATAGTTTGACCCATTTTTGGTCTTGTGTTAGAATTTAGTCATCGAGATTGAGAAAAAGTCAAAGGACCCCATGTATTGGATACCAGACACTTACTCCACTCAAGATATTGCCTCTGCTGTGAAGACCCTATTGAGTGGCTTTCCTGTCCGTTTGATGACCACCGAGAAGGTGGACGAATATCCGGACATGACCGGTGAGTAGTATTAGTTGTTGTCAGTGTTTGACAAGCTTTCAGAATTGTCAATGTTTCAATATTGTCATTATTGTCAATGTGTTAGTTATGCCAGTAGTGCCAATGTTTTAGTTATGGCATGTGTGTCAGTAGGCCAGAAAGTCAACGGGCCAGATTGTCAGTAGGCCAGAGTGTCAGTATGTCAGCGTGTCAGTAGGCCACAGTGTCAGTAGGTTTTAGAGTCAGTAGGCCAGAAAGATGCGATTACAAATTATAATTGAAAGTGACAGAATTTGATGTTTTGACGGATGAAAAGTGACAATATTTCATTTCGTGACAGTGATATTGTAATCATTAGCAATGTTACTCATTGTCTCCCAACCAAGGTGAACTGGAAGGGTACCAACTTAAAGCTTTGAATTTGTTTATTCTTTCAATGAGTCAGCCCCACAGAGACACATTACATGTAAGTAGAGCCAGCCACATAGAGACACATAACATTTACGTATAGTCAGCCACACAAAGACACATTACATGTAAGTAGAGCCAGCCACACAGAGACACATAACATTTACGTATAGTCAGCCACACAAAGACACATTACATGTAAGTAGAGCCAGCCATATAGTGTCACAGTACATGTAAATAGTCAGCTAAATTTTAACACAACATATTTAAGTATAGTAGGAACGACAAAGCATGTAAAAGTAAACACCATATATATTTGCGTAGCGACACATTACATTTAAATGTAAGCCATATAGAGATAAGTAAAACAGACATACTGTAAAACACATGGTGAAATATTAAATGTAAGTGTAGCCACCCGCATAGCGACACATTCGTGTAGGCGTAGTCAACGGCATAGGGATACATTTCTGTAAGTTTAGCCAGCCACATAGCGACACATTCGTGTAGGCGTAGTCAACGGCATAGGGATACATTTCTGTAAGTTTAGCCAGCCACACAGAGAAACATTCGTGTAGGCGTAGTCAACGGCATAGGGATACATTTCTGTAAGTTTAGCCAGCCACACAGAGAAACATTCGTGTAGGCGTAGTCAACGGCATAGGGATACATTTCTGTAAGTTTAGCCAGCCACACAGAGAAACATTCGTGTAGGCGTAGTCAACGGCATAGGGATACATTTCTGTAAGTTTAGCCAGCCACACAGAGAAACATTCGTGTAGGCGTAGTCAACGGCATAGGGATACATTTCTGTAAGTTTAGCCAGCCACACAGAGAAACATTTCATGTAACCAAAGACGTCTCGTATGAGTGAGTAAAATGAATCTTGTTCAGCATGTGCTGACCAATTAATTCCAAGAATGATATAAAAGTCATTAAGTTATATAATACAGAAATTAAGCTACGTAATGTAGCAATGATAACGATGCCAACAACAAATTTTAATCTATCAAACTTTTATTAAAATTAAATTAAGAAATAATGTGAGTTTATCGCACAATTACAGCTAGTGCTCGACTTACGACCTATGCAACTTACGACCATTCGACTTTACGACCACATCGAAAATTATGATTTTTAAAAATAATAAAATACTTATGATGTAATTTAACTTAAATATTTTTTATAACATCTCTTCACATTACTGTACACGTAGCGCACTCAGCTTACGACCAAATGGTGTTACGACCGGTCTGTCGGAACCGATCGTGGACGTAAGTCGAGCACTAGCTGTATTGGCTTTTATTTTTATACATCCACAGCTGCTCCTGAGAACATTGCACATGGTTGATAAAAACCAGGGCAAATCTAAGATGAATGCTGACACCTTGGCTCCCATCTTTGGTCCAATCCTTTTTAAAATGCCAGACAAGCTTAGCCAAAAGGACCAGGAAGCAAAATTGACCCAGTTCAGTTACCTAACAAAAATGTTGATACGTTTTAACAGCAGGCACTTCTATGTAAGAAAACCTACTTCTCACAATGTTTTACTTAAGCTGTTCAATAGTTTGAATCTGTTTGTTTACAGTGATACATTGTTGCTAATGTTGTTTATAAAATTTTTTGGTTTGTTCACATGGCATTGTAAAGTTTTGTTTAGATTGTAAGTAATGTACCAATCTTGTAAGGTGCTGTATGATGGTGACCTGTAGTGCTGCTTCTATTTTTTTCCCAGATTTTGCTGATCCAATTTATTAGGTCATCCATTGTTATAAATTATTGTGTTGTGTTTTTTTTTTTTTTTTGCCAGCATTTTTTTTGTCTGTCTAAAAATAATACAGCTTGTAAAATTTTTCATAAACATAATTTTTGCAGGTCAAGCAAAAGTTGCTCGCTCAGCTGCGTGAGTCTGTAGCAAAGGAAAAATCTGGCGCCGGGTAATATGAAAATTGGACAAAGTAGATAGGACATAGTAGATAGGGCATAGTAGATAGGACATAGTAGATATGAACAAGTATATAGGGCAATGTAATTGGGAAATATAATAGCCAAAGTGGATAGGACATACTAGATAAAACAAATTAGACAGGTAACATTGGATATGAAAAAGTAGATAGGAAAATATATATATAGGGCAATATAATAGGAAAAATGTATAAGCCAAAGTGGGCAAGACAAAGTAGATGGGACAAAGCAGATGGGACAAAATAGATGGGACAAAGCAGATGGGACAAAGTAGATGGGACAAAGCAGATGAGACACGATAATAATACACCTTTTACCTTTTTTCTTACATCTGGCAATATTGTTTTTGTAACAGAAGCACACAATCAATTGGACAAATCTTTTTGATACATTTTTTGTTATGCTACTCGTAGCGTTGAGTTACTTCTTTCTTTTCATTTTCTTTAAAACTCCTTTTAAAAAGAAAAGAAATGCACTGAATGGTGTGTTACAGGGGCTCTCAACTTTGCTATTGTCGGGTGTGTTACAGGAGATCTCATAATATTTTCTTCCATATAAGCCAACTAACCTCTTGATTGTTTGAATCCTTCATCTTGTCCGCAGTTCAAACGACCGTGGAAGAAATGTGATGACTGTTACAGCGGCAAGGTGAGTGTAGTCTCGTGTAGATGTATCCTTACACTGACATGTGAACAAACGGTCCGGAGATCATTTGAAATCCTATAACGTGTTTAGTTTAATCAAGAAAGGACATTTTCAGAAAAACAATTTGAGCGATACAAAATACAAGTACAATATAGAGTTTTATTTGAAAATTGTCCCCCTTTTTATGCCCCCCCCCCACACACACACATCTTCAAGTCCCTTCTAATCGTGCGAAAGATTAATTTGATTGATTGCGTGTTTAACATTATTAATGATTTACTGGCCGATGCGTGTTCAACATCATCGATGGTTTGATGCGCTATGGAGACAGAAGTAGTCAGTCCATCGGCCCGCGTGATTGAAACAGCAAGACAAATGGAGAAAAGATGAGGGGGGGGGGGTGCTGCCACCCCCTCGCACCTCCATCCTCCGCATCCAGGGGCGTGTCATACTTGTACTTTTATTACTTTGATCAAAGTTTGGTTCTCTTTTCTTTCATTTCCTCTATTATCGCACACATCATCTTCACTGTTCATCTATTATCGTACACATCATCTTCTCTGTTCAATAATTTCTCTGTCCCTCTCAGTTTTATAGAAGTTATTGGACTTAAAATTAAAAAAAAAAGATGTATACAAATAAAAGTGATCACCTTATACCCAAAGGTTTCAATAAAGTGAATGCAATTTTAAGCGTTACATTAATTTACCTTAAAAAATTATGATTCCTAACTTTGTAAATAACTTACTCGTTTTATTTGGTTAATTTTTTTTTTAAAAAGGAGAATCGTGTTTGGTTCTTAAAGTCACATGATTGACGCTGTCCTATGAGACTTTAAGATATATGTTAATGCACTACTAGCGTGAGAGAGAGAGAGAGATTGGAAGAGAGATCGGGAGAGAGAGACAGAAAGAGCTAGAGAGACAGGGCTAGAGACAGACAGAGGTAGAGACAGAGAGACAGAGAGATAGGGAGAGACAAAGTCAGAGATAGATAGACAGGGAGACAGAGAGACAGCAATTGAGAGACTGACATGCACACATAGATAGAGTGACGGACACATACGCAGATATAGAGAAACAGGGAGGGGTGTAGAGAAACAGGGAGAGAGATATAATGGGAGAGAGATAGAAAAACGTGGAGAGAGAGAGAGAGAAACAAGGATAGAGAAAGAGAAACTGGGAAAGAGATAAAGAGACAGAAAGAGAGATAGAGAAACAGGGAGGATGATAGAGAAACAGGGAGAGAGGAACAGAAAGAGAGGGAGAGAGATAGTGAAACTGGGAGAGAGATAGAGAAACGGGGAGAGAGGAAGAGAAACAGGGAGAGAGATAGAAAAACGGAGAGAGAGAGAGAGCGAGAGAGAGAGAGAGAGAGAGAGAAAGGGAGAGAGATAGAGAAACAGGGTAAAAGATTGATTGACAGACCTACACACTTGAGATTAGCACTAAGTGAATATGATAAAACAATGGTGTAAATAGTAAAATCAGATAAAAGTTTTTTTTTTTTACTGCTTTAAAGAAAATAAATAAATGTAGGCTAGTCGAATCATCATCATGATAGTCGTGGCCTCCTTCTATCATCATGATAGACAGTGATAAGCCAAGTTAAGAGATGGTGATGCATCACTTTGCTCGAGAATGAGGTCAATCTATTCAATAATAGAGCTCTGTATCTTCTTCCTTAAAAACCTCAAACTAATTTAGATCTAGAACGGTCGCACATCAGTCCTGTTCTTCTGGCCAAAGTTCTATTTTATTTTCAGTAGTTCTTTTAATCTTCATCTTGTTTTCCTTATCTTAGATTTATCGACCTGTTCTGCTGGTTGATCTCCGCCATTTTTTTAATTTTTCCCGCCATCTTTTAAAATTTTTAAAACGCTAACGCGGTATGTCTTTGGATATTTTCAACACGTGACTTTGAATTTACATGATATGAGTGACTTTTCCTTGTTTTCCACTGTAAAGAAAAGACTAGGCTACTTTCCCCATTGTGAACAGATTTGTTTTTTCGTTAAAATTTTTCATATCGAATTGGCAGTTTTGTCCATTTCTCATTTGAAATTTGCGCTTTTGTCAATTTGTCCTATAGATCTAGCAGTTTTGTTCCCATTCAACCTTAAGTCAGAACACTATAAAAAATGCAGAAAAAATGTGACTTTGCCTTTTTTTCCCATGAAGTCTTCTGGTGTCAGCACCATCTATGCCAAAGACGAGCATGTCCATTAAAATAACCCCTGACACAGTAGCCTATGAAGTTGTGGACGCTTACAGAGATATTTGCAAGTAAGACATTGCTCGACATTTACTTATAAAAGAAGATCAGTTACTTGTTACATGCACTTCATCAATCCTTTTAATCCATAATTCACATCAATTGAGCCAATATTTTTTTTAAATACAGCAATGTTAGACAAACTAAAGTGTTTAGAAATGTTATATGTAAAAAGCGACCTCGACTTTGACTTGGATACATTGGTTTGATAAAGACACTATTAATAATTGTGTGACTTTTGATGCCGGGGACATAGTGGGGAGGGAGGGACGGGAGAGAAACAAGGTCTTTAATTGGATATCGAAGTTGTGGAATTTCCAAATAGTTCAAGTAACTTCAGAGAAAATGTCCAAGTAGTAAAGACAAAATGTTCACCCTTATGTTGTTACTGCTGTTCATATTTAACAAAATTGTGTATAACTAAAACATTTATTCCCATTCAGGAAAGACGGCTCTATTCCAAACACCAGCTGGAAAAACTGTTTGTTTGAAGTTGGAGGGAATATAGGTATGGAAATCATTTGTGTGCTAATCATTGGAAAACAAAACAACAACAACATTCCATTGTGTTCGGCAATATTTAGGCGAAGGATATGTAATGTGCCATTGTTTGGCAATATTTATGTAAAGGATATTAAATGTGACATTGTTAATGAAGCGGTAATCCGTAATGGATCTCAATCGTTTAATATGGGCCTTACGAGGCTTCATCTTTTACTCTGTACTGACTGATGAGGCAGGCTCTTAGCCGAAATGTTTTGTCTTTCTAATTCAAGCTTCCACATACCTTGTTGTTCTGCTAGTTCCTCACACAGCTTCCACACACCTTGTTCTACTAGTTCCTTCACACAGGTTCCACATACCTTATTCTACTAGTTCCTTCAGACTGCTTGATCACAGTCCTGCCTTTATTATGTTTCAGGTGAACGCTGTCTGGACCCCTTTGCTATCATAATGGATGTGTACCAGGCCAACCCGTCAGCAGAGTTTGTCATTAGGCCGTCTGCAGTCAAGAGCTACACCGCTTTCCATTCATTAGGGTAGCACCACTTTGTGTCAATGGAATGCCACCTGTTTGAAACATCTTTGCCATCTTATAAAATTAGTCTTTTTTTTTCTATCCTTTACTTAAAACCTCATTTCTAATATTACTTCGAATTCTTCAATGAAAATACCTATGAATTCTCCACAAAATTTGTTTTTGGATACATTTTCGTCCACATGTTTGTCGGCACGTCATTTATTCTATATATAAATAAAATCTTGTGCAAAAATTTGGTTGTTTGGTCTTGTTTAAACAAAAAAATTAGCGTCACTTTGCTGTCCACACGTGGGATTAAGTTTCATAATTAAAAAAAAAAGCAAAACCCAGGAAGCTGATTCAATTATGACGAAAACCTTCATGTCACCTGAGTGAAAGGAGACAGCTTCAAATGGATGCACTGTTAGTGTTAGTGTTAGTTTTAGAGTTAGTGTTAGAATTAGTTTTAGAGTTAGATAGCTTATGGTAGAGTTAATGTTAGAGTTAGTGTTAGAGTTAGAGATAATATTAGTGTGAGAGTTAGTGTTAGAATTATTAGTTTTAGAGCTAGTAAGTAAGTGTTAGAGTTATGGTCAGTGTTAGAGGTGGTGTTAGAGTCAGTGTGAGAGCTAATGTTAGTGTTAGAGTTATTGTTAGAATTGGTTTTAGAGCTAGAAAGTTAGTGTTAGAGTTAGTGCTAGAGGTAGATTAGAGTTATTGTTAGAATTAGTTTTAGAGTTAGTAAGCTAGTGTTAGAGTTCATTAAATTGAGACAATTTCATTTTCTGAAAAGAAAAGAACATATTACGCACCAAATGCAGCTGCGTTATTTAAAAAAAAATTATTGAGCAGTTATCGGAGATTATATTTTGCGCCCTATCCGGAATTGGAAGTAGTCACACCACAAAAAAAAAAAAAATATATGTAAGAGATGGAACTTCAGCGATTGTCAGTAATAAAAAATCTTCTGAACTTCTAAAAATGAACTAGTTTATGAGAATCCATTGAGCGTTATTGTATTTTAAGGCATATACAGTTTTTAAGCAAATAATTTTTAATTACTACAAGACAAAACGAATTCATTATTTAGACTTCATCAAATATGTTCTTTTATTGATAGTTTTATTTCAGAAATAAAATTATTTTCCTCTAAAAATAAACAACAAAACAACAGAACTCTCTAAATCCCTCTACTCCCTTGTCCCCCTGCTTAAAACATGTCTGCCACATGACGTCATTAATTTCCCATCAACTTCCGCTGTCTCGACACAAAATAAGCCACGGAGTGTGGCCATCTTGTCCAAACTTAGGAAGAAAACATTCAGGCTACAATGCTGCTCCTGGCACACAACAGGACACAGCTGGCATCGGTCAGGCATCTGGTCACTGCGACCGTCCGTCTTAATAGGGAGTTCGTCTCGTACAGGCTACACAAGAACTGGCAACATGGCCACACCAAAAAATACCGTAAGTCTTTATTTACAAATTGAATATCAAAATAACCAATACAAACAACGTTTAGACTGAATGCAGTGGAAGATAGGAGAACACCAGACAGAGAAACCAGGTTAGTTAGAGTGTTTCAATCGACTTGCTGCCAAGTAAATGACACCACTTTTAACACCATCTACGCTGGTCTCATGATATTCTGACACTGGTATCAAGATATTCTGCAAATGGTATCATGATATTCTGACATTAGTATCATGATTATCTGACACTGATAACATGATATTCTGACACTGGTAACATGATAATCTGAAACTGGTAACATGATTTTTCTGACACTGGTATCATGATATTTTGAGGCTGATATCATGGTATTGGCCTAATAAGATAATAGCGTCACAGGCTATCCTGTTGCAGCGTCACGACATATGATACCTGAGTCGCATAAGAATATCATAAGATCAGCCCCACGGTATTCATCTTACCAATACCAAAATAGCACACATTAAACAACTTCTCAAGTCCGAGCATATAACTTCCAAGCATGAAAGCAAATTATCAACATCAATGGAAGCACATGCCAACAGGAACAACATATCCTCATTGAAACAACATGCCAACACGAACAACATATCATTATTGAAACAACATGACAACATTAACAACATATCATCATTGAAACAACATGCCAACACGAACAACATATCATTATTGAAAAACATGCCAACATGAACACCATATCATCTTTGAAATAACATGCCAACATGAACACCATATCATCATTGAAACAACATGCCAACATGAACACCATATCATCATTGAAACAACATGCCAACACGAACAACATATCATCATTGAAAAACATGCCAACATGAACACCATATCATCATTGAAACAACATGCCAACATGAACACCATATCATCATTGAAACAACATGACAACATTAACAACATATCATCATTAAAACAGCATGCCAACATGAACACCATATCATCATTGAAACAACATGACAACATTAACAACATATCATCATTGAAACAACATGCCAACACGAACAACATATCATCATTGAAAAACATGCCAACATGATCACCATATCATCTTTGAAACAACATGCTAACATGAACACCATATCATCATTGAAACAACATGACAACATTAACAACATATCATCATTGTAACAACATGCCACTATGAACAACATATCATCATTGAAACAACATGCCAACATGAACACCATATCATCATTGAAACAACATGCCAACACGAACAACATATCATCATTGAAAAACATGCCAACATGAACACCATATCATCTTTGAAACAACATGCCAACATGAACACCATATCATCATTGAAACAACATGACAACACGAACAACATATCATCATTAAAACAACATGCCAACATGAACACCATATCATCATTGAAACAACATGACAACATTAACAACATATCATCATTGAAACAACATGCCAACACGAACAACATATCATCATTGAAAAACATGCCCACATGAACACCATATCATCTTTGAAACAACATGCCAACATGAAAACCATATCATCATTGAAACAACATGACAACATTAACAACATATCATCATTAAAACAACATGCCAACATGAACAACATATCATCATTGAAACAACATGCCAACATGAATACCATAGCATCATTGAAAGAACATGCCAACATGAACAACATATCATTATTGAAACAACATGCCAACATTAACAACACATCATCATTAAAACAACATGACAACATTAACAACATATCATCATTGAAACAACATGCCAACACGAACAACATATCATCATTGAAAAACATGCCAACATGAGCACCATATCATCACTGAAACAACATGCCAACATGAACAACATATCATCATTGAAACAACATGCCAACATTAACCACTTATCATCATTGAAACAACATGCCAACCTTAACAACATATCACCATGAAGCAACATGAACAACATATCATCATTCAAACAACATGCCAACATGAACAACATATCATCATTGAAAAAACATGCCAACATTACCCACTTATCATCATTGAAACAACATGCCAACATTAACAACATATCATCATTGAAACACCATGCCAACATGAACAACATATCATCATTGAAACAACATGCCAGCATGAACAACAAATCATCATTGAAACAACATGCCAACATGAACAACGCATCATCAGTGACTCAAGTTAACATCCCATCACGAAGTAAAGAAAAACCATGCTTGGAAATTAAAATAATTAGGAAGTCATGTGTTTCCCTTGATCAGCTGTGTTTATATTGATCAGCTGTGTTTACTTTGATCAGTTGTGTTTATATTGATCAGCTGTGTTTACATTGATCAGCTGTGTTTACATTGATCAGCTGTGTTTCCATTGATCAGCTGTGTTTTTATTGATCAGCTGTGTTTACTTTTGCTGTGTTTACGTTCGTCAGCTGTGTTTACATTGATCAGCTGTGTTTATATTGATAACCTGTCTCTACATTGATCAGCTGTGTTTACATTGATCAGCAGTGTTTCCATTGGTCAGCTGTGTTTATATTGATAAACTGTCTCTACATTGATCAGCTGTGTTTCCATTGATCAGCTGTGTTTATATTGATCAGCTGTGTCTACATTGATCAGCTGTGTCTACATTGATCAGCTATGTTTACATTGATCAGCTGTGTCTACATTGATCAGCTGTGTCTACATTGATCAAATGTGTTTACATTGATCAGCTGTATTTCCATTGATCAGCTGTGTTTACATTGATCAGCTGTGTTTACATTGATCAGCTGTGTCTCCATTGATCAGCTATGTTTCCATTGATCAGCTGTGTTTACATTGATCAGCTGTGTTTACATTGATCAGCTGTGTTTACATTAATCAGCTGTCGGCTGATGCGATTTATATTTTGAGTTTACTAATGTATCCTTTAAAAAAATGTCCCAATATAAATATACAAAGCAAAAAAGAAATATTTTTTTTAGACAAAATGGAAGCATTTGATGCTATGAATATTGTATAATTTATATTTCTTTAAGAGGGAAACTTTGCAACACTTATACAGTCCGGCGTAAGAAAAGGCTGGGGTGGTCTCCAAGTGATCAACCCTATCAGCTCTACCAACTCTGGCCTTTTAGCTAAAATAATCGAGGATGAAAACATTGCACAAACTGGCATCAAGCAGGTCGGAAAGGTTTGGTCTAAAATTCTAAATTGTATTTTATGAAGAAAACCAAATTCATTAATAGAGTTCTTACATGTAAATCTTATACGTTGACCTTGTCTATACAAACATGTTGAACCGTGGTTCAATGTTTAATGATATTATACTTTTATATGGATACAACGTAATTGATACTATGAGATATGTTAGGTCTCTAACAGTAACTGATATGGGTACAAACTAATAGATACTATGAGATATGTTAGGTCTCTAACAGTAACTGATATGGGTACAAACTGATAGATACTATGAAATATGTTAGGTCTCTAACAGTAACTGACATGGGTACAAACTAATAGATACTATGAAATATGTTAGGTCTCTAACAGTAACTGATATGGGTACAAACTAATAGATACTATGAGATATGTTAGGTCTCTAACAGTAACTGACATGGGTACAAACTAATAGATACTATGAAATATGTTAGGTCTCCAACAGTAACTGATATGGGTAAAAAATACTTACTGATCTACAAAGAATTAAATA